TATATATATATATATATATATATATATATATATATAATATATTTTGAACTTTTGGTGATCTTAAGTGTATGATCTAGAAACAGATCTCTGCAAAGAGACTGAAATGAAGAGAGTGTAGCCTCGACATTAACCACGAGGTACATTATAACATGACCTCTCTTATCAATTCTTACAATTGGTTTCTCTCTCGGATTATCATTGCCAACACTCTTTGTACTGTGCATTTTAAAATTCTCCAAAGTGGTATTTTAAAATTCCACGGCGCAATCTGACCGAGCAGATCATTTTTAATCGTTAACTTCGCTCCCTACAGTTCAAACATTATATGCATTTTATTTTCATTCTCTAAATTTACATGTATGTTCATTGAAACTTACCAAACTATGTATAATGAGCATTTGTTTCTTTTTTTTTTTTTTATTGTGAGAGAAGTGAATGTTGCTAGAAGTAAGTACAAGATTGGTAATATATGGAATGTGAAATAAAATAGTTAGAACAGAAGAGATTTATGAAAACAAAAAAAAAAAAAAAATAGAAAATTATTATCTGAAATACGTATTAGTTTTAATTAATTTTTGTACTGGAAGCAAAATTACAACAAAAATTTCGACTTAATTACAGCAACCATCGTGCATCAATGGGAACAAACGTGAAAAGACGGCACTCCGATTTGCCGCATTTCAAGTCAGTTACGAGAATTTCCAACTTTCCTATTATAGAATACAGTATAAATATCGCCGGCAATGCCTACGCTAGGATAAAGGTAAGCAGAGCTGTTTTAATAACAGTTTCACGAGCCTCGCCACTTTCTCTCATCTTTCACTTGTTAGTTTCGCCTGTCGTGAAAGTGCTGCATGTTAGCAATGATCAGTTTGAACTTTTTCGTATGCACATATAATACGTATAATTCCATCGAAGAGTACTGATGGAGTAAACAATTTTATTGTACAAATAACAAATCTTTTTTTAATAAATTTGTGTGTATTCTTCTCTTATTATCTCTTTGAATGAAAATTCATTTAAATTTCAAATTAATCATTAATCGTAACTTTTTTTTTTACATTAAAGATCAGAATGATCTATTTTACAGACAGAAATTTTTATCGGTACACTTTCGTTCATAATTCGTAAAAAAAAATAAGCAAAAAGTTTCTAGTAACAATTATTTATATAAACGAGAAAATATAAATGTAACGAATCAATGTTGTGCTCGATATATCAGTGCTCGGCGTCACATAGATTATTATACATTCATGAATAAATTATTCAAGAAAATTAATCGTAGAATGCAACATGAAATTTCTTTCGTTGGAAATTAAATCACTAGATGAAGCAT